AACAATTGTTTTATCAGAATAATTCCATAGAAATACTAATGATGACTCTGTCCTATACGAATAGTCTGAATTGGATTCTAAATCTGTTTTAATATCACTTAACCTTTTCATCAGTGCCGATTGTTCCTGTAAATTATTTTCATCGGATTGACCGTTCAAAAACTTGAATATATCAGAAGGTAATCCATTGTCATCATTACCGTTGTCATTATCCAAAGAAGAACTCATCCTGACTGTCAGTCTAAATACGAACAAATTTTAGATGAAAATAATACAGTGGCTGTGCCGAATTTTGATACTTCTTTCTCAAAGCTAAATGGTTTTCACAGCGAAGGTAGCTAACAGTGCTGGTCACGGCTCGGTTGACCAAGCCGTGACCAGTGGAAATCTTAACCGTGCACAGCACTAATAACGGGATCGGTCATGTCGCTAAGAAGTTTTTCGACCGGTTATGGTTCGGTTAATCTCATCTTTTTCTGTCGCTTTAATTCGGTTGGTGAGTTACTGCGTACTCATCGTGAGTACGGAGATCGGAATAGTCTAAGTGAGCAAGAAACATGTCACGCATTTCGGTAGGGAAAGAAGTTCTGTTAAATACCTTTTATTAGCGATAGAAGAAAAAATTATGAACAACAGATTAATTTTTACTGTTGCTGCTACTAGTATTTCGGTTCAGTTTGATACTTTTCGGTGTCGGAACGATTCAGTTAAGCCTTTTTTGAAACCAACCTCGGTTTTCGCTCGGTTTGGTTCAAAAAGTTTGAATTATCGTTGGCAAGATTACTTTAAAAAGACTTTATTTTCTCACAAGCCAATAGGGGTTTTCCTGAAAGAGAGCCTCAAACTGCACAACATATTAAAAAAACAAGGGAGTGCAACCCCTTTTAAAGTTTTTAATTTCTCACTTGTCTACGTTATTTTGACTCAACTGTAAATTTTTTAAAGTGAAGACCAGTAGTTAAAACTTTAATTAAAATTTAAAATTAATTAATTGATCACTCTACGAATATTTATTAGTTCGTCGAAAAAACTTGAGAACAAATGCATTCCGGTGTTCTCTTAAAACTGACCAAGTTTGAGGGGATATATAGGAGGGGTGGAGGCTTCCTTAAAAGAAAAATGACCGCATGCAGTTTATATGTTCCAGTTCACCCCTTGCACTGTTCATTTATGTCTTACAGTATACACGTTTGCTAACACAACTTACTTTATGTGCTATTAAATTTTTTGCTCCCTCTACATATTTTTTTCTTCCCAACAGAATAATAATCAAATGAATTAAAAACGCAGAAAAGAAAATCATGTATCCTTCATACTTTCTTTCTACCAAAACAAACTTTCTTCTTATTAGGAATCTTTCAATGAGTAAACTTCAATTATTTTTATTCTTTGCTTTTTCTACATACTACAAGACGAATGCATGAAAGATGTAGAGAAAGTTGTTATCATTCTAAACCAGACCCTAAGAAAATATTGACTTTTTGCACATGTTAGTTGTTTTTTATGACGTTTCTCTTTTTTTACGAACCTGCACGCTGAAGAAAAAATTCCTACTTATTATAAAAATACAATAGCTTTTGAAATGTTTGAATAACTGAATTAGATGATAATGGACAATCATTGCTATCACAATAACAGTATCCTGCTTCTCTACGATGACTTCATTTTAGTTTCAAAATTTGAAAACAAAACAATAATCCGGTTATTTCTATTTTGAACTTTCCTTATTTCAAGATGCAATTAAAGAAAAATAAATGTAACGTTTTTTTAAGCATTTCACTACTATAGTAACAAACTGGTAATAGACTGAAGGGGATCATCAAACGTTCTCGTTGTCGATAAGAAAATCCCGCTACGTAATAAAGAAATTGAACGAAACAAGAGTGACATGAGCTGTATTCTGAGAAATAATGCATAAAACCTACGTTCGTACCAGTTGTCACTGTTAACAGAAATGAAAAGAAAAAATTAAATATACATTTATGGCTAAGAATAAGTTATTAGAGCTGCGACAAATAGCGGTTTTCTTTTCTTTTCTTCTTCACGTTATATATAGTGTGTGCTCACGTTGCAATCTACGGTACATATATGTTGTAGCGGAAAACTGGAATTCGGTGAAATTCTAGATTTCGCTAGACAAAACTGGAATTCGAGTTTTCCCTAGCGAAAACTGAGATGCATGTGCTTGCACATGCTTGATTCCAGTTTTCTCCAGTGAAATCGAGATTTCGCTAGGAAAGTGAAATCCGAGTTTTTCCTGGTGAAATTTAGAATTTGACTAGATGAAACTGGAACCCAAGTTTTTCCTAGAGAAAACTGAGATGCATACATATGCCGATTCCACTTATCTCTAGTGAAATCTGGAATTTAACCAGATAAGGTGGAATTAATGTAATGAGAATAGATTTCAAGTTATAGAAACAAAATAAATATTTTACAGAGATGAATGAACAAGCACATTGTCTAAAGGTTTCTTCTCTTCTCCCTCCTCCTCCAATGTCCTAACCTGCACTCCAGAAGACCTGCACGCAGAAGAAAAAATTTCTATTAATTATAACGCCCATGAACAACCAACATACTCGGAAAGAGATGTTTGAAATCAACGACAAGTCTGTTAATGAATTCTTTGTCGTTATCGCTATGTAGTATACGACAAGGTCCAGATGAAAAAGATCGCTCGTAAATGACGTCACACAGAACTGTCTGTTGACGAGTTGTTATCTTTCTCTTGTCTTTACATCGATTAAATAGAGATAATAGCTGTATTGCTGTTACATAAAGTAGTGATTTTGTTAAGAGTGTTAACCGTTATTGAACCGACTGGACGAGATAAAAGTGAAAAATAATATCACATCTTCCATATGCATTTTTTACATCATTTTACCTTGTTCTATAAACTAGATAAAACGCACGTAGCATCATACTTTTTTCCTACAATACGATTTTTGATTATAGATGATAACAATACCAACGCAACCAGCATCTGTGATGTTTGAAAGTGCTCCTTGTTAAAATGCCACTATTTTAACGTCTAATACTATAAATGCTCCTAATTTAACCATCATAACAACAGCAGCTCAATGTTCAGTCATCACAATAACAGCTGTGGGCAATGTTGGGCAAGCTGACTTTTTCAAAGAAATCGATAACCACATTTCATCATTAAAAGAGCAATATCGTACAAAAGTTGTTATTAACAAGAGGATCTACGATGATATCATGGTAGCATTGAAATTAGAGGAAGGTAAAACTGGTTATCTCTCAGTGAAGTTTATTTTTTGGTCAAAAAATAATTTTGTGTTATTAAGTACTGGTGGTATTGACATTGTCTGTGATAAAAAAGGTCTCAAGCCCGTTGTACTTTACGAATCATTTTTTCAAATCATTGGAGAATGCCACAGAAGAATTTCCCATGGAGGAAGAGACAAAACGTTAAAAGAAATTCAGGCGAACTACGGGTGGATTTCTCATGTTTTTGTTGATATTTTTGTGAAACAATGTGTTGAATGTCAAACACGTAAAAGTATTAAAATACCTATTGTATCTAAAGCAATTATCTCTGTAGGAGTAATGACAAGAGCACAGATAGATTTGGTAGATATGCGAAGTCGTCCTGATGTCATTGGTACTGATCTTATTTACAGATGGATTTTGCACTGCAAAGACCATTTTTCGAAGTTTACATGGGCTTTTGCATTGAAAGCAAAATCCGCAATAGAAGTTGGTCTTCATTTACGAGCGATTTTTTCTCATTTGGATCTTGTCGTATACTACATAGCGATAACGGCAAAGAATTCATTAACAGACTTGTCATTGATTTAAAACATCTCTTTCCGAGTATGTTGATTGTTCATGGGCGTCCGCGTAATCCAAGGTTCAATAGAGTGTGCCAATGCAGTTTTATGTTCAGCTATTGGAAAATTGTAGTATAAAATGTACGCCTTATCAGATTATGTTTGGACAACATTCCCGTTCAAACTGTTTATTTTTGGACAGTATTCAGATTGATGGTGCTGTTGAACATGATGATCTTCCAAAAGAGGTTCTTGATTTGTTACAAAATGATGATAATGAAGGTGTTGTTGATGCTGAGCACAATGATGTGAAGGATCCACAATTGGCTGTTGTTATGAATAAGTTCGATGTGACTACTGATAGTTCAGAAGCTGATGAACAAAATTCAAATTTTGTCGTTGATACTGCTCCGGATACTTCTTTTAATAATACAGTTGCCATTTCAACAGTTTGCTAATCCAACATCCGTTACAAGTGAATCCGACGAAGGTGCTAAGTTTGTCCGAAGTGATTCAGTTGATTCTAAACATGTTGTTCATTGTCCAATTTTAACAGGTAGTCCTATATTTTCTCAACATAGTGAAATTCCAAAATTTGCGACAGAAAACTACCTTAATGAGACCACTAAACGTCAAAAATTATACGATTCTCATACGAAAAATTTGTCTTCTGTGTATAATGTTGGTGACTGCGTTGGGGTTCGTGTTAGTAAAGTCGATCATACCAATACGGATGCAAAAATTCAGTTCTTCTTTTTCGATTCAAAGCCTTGTTGATATGCGATCTGTTGTTTCTGTTGTTATGCGTTCCTTGGATGAGACGTTATTAGAGGAAATAACATTTATTCAAGCTTGCAAATATCTATCTCGTAATGCAGTGAATAATGCTACGTGTGATTGTAAAACTAAATGTTCGACATAAGGTGTATAATTTTCGTCTCACTTCGTTCGTTAATTTCATCTATTCGTACGTTTTATTAATTAGTTTAAACTGAGTCATTGATCCATAGTTTATTCAAGTTGTTCTATTGGTCGTCTCTCGTCGTATCATCTCTCAGATTCAATCCTTACCAATGTCACATTTGATCATTCGTACGTATTTGAATTCTCTTACAAAATCACTCGATGATTTACCAGACTTGACCAATGATCAATATATGAAGCTGATAGAAAAATTAGCACACCAGATTGATAACTTTTCCAATGAACCGTCAATGGACAGTTCATTGAGTTCAGAAGATGTCCCTGTCAGTCGGGATCAATCAAAACAGATGGTAAAGATGATACTTGAACAACATGATCTTCTGGTTAAAACACTCTGTTCTCAACACGTGCCTGTCTCTCCTATCAACGTGTGTTCAGCTCAATCGGGGCTGCCACAACAAATGTCGAGTCAAACCTCATCGTCGGCGGATAGTCAGATTGGATCGAGTCTTACTCATAACACTTTGTCATCCACACCGGTTCAACAGACGGAAATAACAACTTCTCCGCCTAAGAAAGCAAAACAATTTGAATTAGTGACCATAGCTGGATCGAGCATTACTCGAGGTCTTGGTAATGGGACAATCGAGTTTTCGAATAAGTCATTTCGATATCATGTTCACACGAAAAATGGTGCTGGGATCGAGAGAATGACTGAGTTTTTCAAAGAAAAACACTTCAAACCGTCACCTCGCTTCATTGTTTGTGTTGGCACGACCAATCTGAAATATGACAAACCGAGTGATGCCCTTGATAAAACAGAACTTTTGATCGCGACATTCAAAAACTCGTATCCAAATTCGAAATTAGCTTTAAC